ACCAGCATGGTTTGAACGAATAGGAGAATTGCAAAGTAAAGATGAAACGTGTTTGAAAAGAATTGGCAAGTAAAGAGCAAAGAGATTAAAGACTTTGAGGTTAAGTCAGATGAAAATCTATATTGTAAAGGAAGAATTGTAATACCGACAATGACGACTTGAAGAAAGAAATATTAACAGAGGCTCATTGCAGTCCGTTAACGATGCACCCGGGTGGAACCAAGATGTATATGGATTTGATGGATCGATTTTGGTGGCCAGGGATGAAACGAAAAATCAACGAATTTGTGTCTAAGTGTTTGATATGTCAACAAGTCAAAGCTAAGCATCAAGTTCCGTCAGGATTATTGCAACCGCTTGTCATTCCTCAATAGAAATGGGAAAATGTTACGATGGATTTTGTTTCGGGGTTACCCTTGACTCCGAACAAAAGAGAATCAATCTGGGTAATTGTTGATCGATTAACTAAGTCAGCGCATTTTCTCCCGGTTAGAACAGATTTCTCTATGGAAAAATATGCAGAGCTGTATATTAGAGAAGTTATTAGATTGCATGGAGTGCCTGTTTCCATAGTCTCTGATCGAGACCCTCGATTCACTTCTAGATTCTAGAAATCTTTGCATGGAGCGTTGGGGACTCGTTTAAACTTTAGTACGGCTTTTCATCCTCAGACTGACGGGCAATCAGAGAGAACTATTCAGATATTGGAAGATATGTTGAGAGCATGCGTAATGGAATTCAAAGGATCATGGGAAAAGTATTTGCCGCTGGCAGAGTTCGCTTATAACAATAGTTATCAGTCTAGTATAAAGATGGCCCCATATGAGGCATTATATGGGAGGAAATGTCGTACTCCATTAAATTGGTATGAACTCAAAGATCGAAGTGTTCTTGGTCCGGATTTAATTCAAGATGTAGAACAAAAAGTTTGAGAAATTCAGGTGGCCTCTGATGGTAAAAGTCCTATTCTGATCTTAAAGAAAAGAGATTGAGTTTGAGGTTGGAGATAAAGTTTTCCTTAAAGTATCTCCTTGGAAGAAAGTATTACGTTTTGGTTGGAAAGGAAAGTTAAGTCCTAGATTCATTGGGCCATATGAAGTTGTTAAGAGAATAGGACCCGTGGCATATCAGTTATCCTTGCCACCGGAAATGGGGAAGATCCATAACGTCTTCCATGTTCCATGTTACGAAGATATAGGTCCGATCCCTCTCACATCATTACACCAGAACAAGTAGAAGTCCAATCGGATCTGACATATGAAGAAGAACCAGTGAGAATATTGGCTTTTGAAGTCAAGCAGTTAAGAAGTAAGACAATTCCGTTGGTCAAGGTTCTTTGGAGAAATCACAAAGTAGAAGAAGCTACGTGGGAACGTGAAGAAGATATGCGACTTCAATATCCCTATCTGTTCGTACAATAAAAATTCGAGGACGAATTTTTTTAAGGGAGGGAGATTTGTAACATCCTCCATACCGGGTTAGTGATCAAATTGTGAAATTATAAAATTCAGTGACCAAAGTAGATAAATTGAATAGTTGAAAGATTTAATGGGAATGTTTTGTGTAGGATTAATTAACAAAGAAGGAGGAACTAAATGGGTAAATGAGTCCTTTAATAGGGGAAATAATTAAATATTAGATGAGGATATTTAAATCCACGTGGAAGGCAAATGAAAAGAACAAAAGTTTCCAGATTTCTCTTCTTCTTCACTTCTTCTTCTCCATCGAGAGACCAAGCTAAAGTGAGTTTTCTTGTTGATTAAATTCTTGATGAATTTAAGGTTTCTTATTGATCCTTAGTTGATAACTAAGCTTAAGGAAAGCTTAGATTATCTTAAAACCATAAGATGATGAGAATATGAAGAATCAAAGAAAGGAAGTAGAAAAGTGAAATCTTGGATTAGAGTTCCTAATAAGAATTAGAAGTGGGATTTGACTTGTCATAAAGCTAACTAAGAAGTATGAGGTGTTAGAATTCAAATTAGAACATGTTGGAATTTGGGTTAGATTCTTAAATTCTACATGGAGAATTGGATTTTTAAGTTTCAAAAGTATGGAATGGATAATAATTAGTTTAAGTAAGAGTATGCAAGTTAAGGATATATAAAGAGGGGAAATATAAAGTGTTAAGTAGACTAAGAAGAGATTTTCGTGCTAAAATGACAATTCTGGGCAATGTGCATCGATGCACATCATGTGCATCGATGCATCGATGATAAATCCCAGAAATTGTTTAAGGTGCATCGATGCACATGCAGTGCATCGATGCATTAATTTAAAAAGAAAACATCGAATAGGATTTATGCATCGATGCATAAGGAGTGCATCGTTGCATCCCCATTAAATACAAACATCGAATAGGATTTATGCTTCGATGCATGGTGTAGTGCATCGATGCATACCTCCATTAAAAAATGAAAATGGCTTTTATTTTAGCCTAAGAAATGATAGTTTAGAATATATTAATTAGTATACTGATAAGTATCAATGAATTACTATGTAGATATCGAGCCTAAACGAGTTCCGAAACCATCAACAAGTAGGATCAATCGAGGGAAAGACAAATAAATCTATATGCATAGCATGAATATGTATTTTATTCAGTTCTAGACTTGTGATAAGTCTAGATTCAATATTTTGATACATGCTAGTATTTTATATTATGATATATGACATGAATCCATACCATATGCATTATGGGACATGAATATGCAAGAAAAAGTTATATGAGTTATGTGATAAAGGTATGAAAATAATATGTCTACGTGATACAAATAAGATAAATTGTGAAAGCCCATGTTATGTAAATGAAAACTATATGTATAGTTGGCATGCCAAGGGTAGAGGGTCTATGTGGTCCTTCGGGACATATATGTATTCTTTGGAACATGTGTGAGGTCTGGTGAGACACATACTTGATCCTTGGCATATGTATATGATTCTTAAGGAATGATATGTGGTCCTTCGGGACATATATGTATTCTTTGGAACATGTGTGAAGTCTGGTGAGACACATACTTGATCCCTAGTATATGTATATGATTCTTAAGGAATGATATGTGGTCCTTATGGACATTATTATATGGCACTACAGTGCAATTCTACGCGGCACTCCGATGCAATTCTACGTGGCACTTAGGTGCAATTATATGAGCTATGGTGACAACATAGTGCACAACCTCACAATACTCACATACCTTAGGTTCTCTGTATGGTACCATGGGCTAATGAACTTACTAAGGCGAACTTATGAATGTGAATTTGATAAGTATATGTGTAAGAAACATGGTTCTGGTTATTGCATTGTTTACATACATCTTATCATTGCAACCCATCTTATTTTGGCAATTTCTTTATATTTATCGATATTATTATTATATTGCCTCACTAAGTCGATGACTTAGCGTGTGAGTGTTTCACACGTAGGATCCGATAAAGTAGACGATCGAGGTTAAGCAGCTGGACAATATTACTCCTGCAACTATCAGATCAGAAGCAACTTAATCAGTAGGTCATTTTGTTATGAAAAGGGATGTTGGCATGTAACTAAAGGGTTAAGTTGTGTATGCTCTGAGTATTTTGATAAACTTGTATTAATATATGTATATTATTGTATTTTTCTTAATATAAGTTCAAGTATTTTGCTATTATTTGTAAGAGTTGTGTTTTAAAAGTCAATGTAATATCTTTGACTCGTATCCGGGTTGGATACGGGTTGGGGGTGTTACAAAATCTTTTCTATTTTTTGCAAAAGCTTCCACCGAAATGTTAATTGCCAATTCACCACCTCTTGGCTATTTCGTTGATCAATTAACTCAACAAATGTGTTCTTCTTTCTTTTGATTTATGAGATTTCCTTGTTTCAAATAGGGAATCTATTTCTTTACAAATTTTTTTGGGCTTTAAAACCCATCTCTAAGGTTACAATTGGTAGAGAATATAAAGAAATCATTTTTCAACTCCTTTTTCTTGCATGTGTGGCTACTGATAAGATTTGGAGTGCCATTGAGTAATCCATGCTAAATTTTAGAAACAACTACAACATCGTTAAAAATGTTTGTTTAAAGAAGATACAGTCACGTAAAATTATCAATTGAGAATATGTAATCTCAAATTTTATACCAAAATTGTATTCAAGAATTCTAATCCTAAATTATAAATCCTACAATCGATTAATTCTCAATGATTCAACGTGACAATGTTTTGATACCATTTGTTAGATCCAACCCATAATAAATATGAAAACAACCTAAATTTAATCATGCCAACCCATCAAGAATAAAATACTACATGCAGAGGTGTACGTGGATTAATTAATAGGTTGAAATATATGAGTATTTCTCTGGTTTTGATTTTCCTAGAAGATAGAATTTTATCGAGTATAAATTTTCTTACGGGATAAAATAAAATACGAGGTTATCTATTTCATGGGGATAATAATTCCTTTATATAGTTGATTATTGTTCGTACTTATAACTCTGCCCATCATCAAATTACAAATACAACTTTAATAGTATCTACATTTTTATTTCTATGATACTTCTAATATCTTATGACTTTATAACATTAATAATCACTTATTTTATGTCATATTTTATAATAACAATATACAAAAATATTTGCACATAATTATGGATTTTGATCCAACACGTCAATTCAAATATAGGTGAAATAAAAGAGAAAAACAAAAGAATTTAGCCAATTAAATCTATGGATATTATTAAAGCTTGTTGAATACATTTGATCATGTGTGGTACAAAATTCCAACTCCCAATTTGTCATGGTCTTTATTATTTTTGGAACATAGCATTTATAACGCAGGGAAAAAGGCAAGCCATAAGGTTTTAAAGTCGTGTCTTCTTCGTTTAGTTGACCTAAGAAAAACAAAAAATAAAACAATATACATGCATATAAACTAATACTGTCAACATTAATTAATTATAAAATAATCCCAATGTAACACAAATATTATTTTTTTCCCTCGAATTTCTGGGTTCCATTTCCAATGGTTTTCATGTCAATTTCCTAGACTCCAAGAAATTCTTCATCTTGGGCTCACAAGACGAAATGTATTCAAGAAAAGTGGCAAAATCTGTTTCTTTATAACGCCTTGGGTTCCCTTCGTCAATCAGTTTAGGCGACGGTCCGACCATGCTATTGAATGGCAGACTATGCAATGAGGCCACCGATAGCCGTGGCTTTTCTGGGTTCACAAATACCCTATGCAGCACACTTTTGTATCTTCCATTGCTAAATATCTGCAAATAATATTCGGATTAGTTTACATTTTCATAAACCCTAAACCTTAACTCAATTAGATTTTTGAGGTCACCTCGAGGTGATCGCCGACATTAACGACGAATGAATCGGCGTTTGGTTCAACGGTGATCCATTTCCCTTTGTGTTGGATTTGTAAGCCTTGGACTTGGTCCTGGAGAAGAAGGGTCAAGAATCCGTAATCGGAGTGCGGCGGCATTCCTAAGGTGAGGTCGGGTTCCGGGCAAGGAGGGAAACAGTTAACTACCATCAGCTGGCTTCCTTCATTGAATTGCTTCATTATTTCATCATCTTCCGGTGCGGTGGCGGTGGCATCCCACAGGCCCAGGCTCTCCAAGATGGCCTCCGTGACCCTTAGAAACAACCACTTGGTTTCCTTTGCGTAGGTAGCCGCCACTTCCCTGTTAAAAGATTAACATAAAATAAGAGAATGTTATCGAATTCGGGTTTGAGCAGCTACGTGGTGATCAGATACCTGAAGTCCGTGGGAGAGGAAGGCCAATGAGGAAGAACATCCGATAACGGAGTGCACAAGAGCTTCAAGAAATCTCTCCAGCAGAAAACTGAATCTTTGATCTGGTTCAAGCTAGTCCCGTATCGAACAGGCGAGGTCATGTCGGACGACATGTACTTTGCTCTTTCCTCGTAGGGTAGCCCAAAGAACCTGCTGCTCACATCGTTCATCCTTCTTATAACTTCAATGGGGATGCCGTGATTCACCACCTGAAAAAACCCGTATTCCTCACAAGCGTAGGAGAGGGAGTCGAGGACTCGGGATCGATTTCGGCCTTGTAATTCGCCGAAATCGATCACCGGCAGTCGGATACTCGACTTAGACACATTCAGATGGTCCTTATGTACATTGGGTCGATCCGAAACAGGCAATATATACTTATCCGGAAGTTTGCTAACTCCATTCTCCGAAAGATGCTTTACGCCTTTCTGGAACTCATCAGTTTCTCTTATTACGTCGTCGTTTTCCATTGCCATTGCAGGGGGAGGCATGAATATTTCCTGCTGATAAAAACACAGTTATTTACAACATAAAGTCTTTAAACTTTAATTTTTGAATGAAAGTGAACCCACCTAATAGCTTCGAAACTGAGAATGAATGAAATGAAGAGGGAATTGGGGTGGGATGTATTTATAGGAGAGAAAAGAGGAGAAAGTTTCTGGGAAACCGGCTTTGGATTTATGGATTCCCAGTTCCTGTAAACAAAAACCGTTGACAAACAATGAGTCGAAGTCACAAACCTAATAAATAATCTGTCAAGTCTTTCATTTCCTCACCATTAATACAAAATATACAACTGCTTTTATTTTCCTTTTCCTTTTGGCCCCTCAATTTTATATCTATAAGATTTTATTATGTCTCCTCTGATGTTTCAATTTGATGGAAAAAATTGATACTAATATTTAAATAAGGATAAAATAGATGGTGTTATTTTAATGTAAGTTAAGAATGGACATTTCATTTAGACAAGACGAGTTAATTTTTTATTTTAAAAAAATTTAAATTTAAATTCAAATCGAATCGAATCTTTTAAGGATGAGGTGGGATATGGGATCAAATTCAAATTTAGGATAAAAAAAATTGATTCAGCACTCATTGACATACATTATAATTGTCCCTTACATATTTGAGGATAATATAATAATACACATTTCTATATCATCTTTTAATTATATCCTTATTTAACCTAATAAAAATTAAGGTAAGTTATGTATTTAGTACTTAAACTAGTAGCTTTGGTCTATTTTAGTATATAAATTTTCTTTTTTTTTTCTTTCAAAATCATACATAATGTTTAGTTTTTGTTTCATTTTAGTAACCGTCGTTTAAAATTATTAGTTTTGGTATGTTTTAGTACCTAAACTTTCAATTTGTTTAAAAAATTAACATTAAATTGATAACATGGGTACTAAAATGAAACAAAAACTAAACTTTAGATATAGTTTTGAAAATTTTAGAAGTTTAGAAACTAAAATTGACCAAAATTGATATTTTAGATACTAAATGTATAGTTTATCTAAAAAAATATTCTTTTTAATATTTATATTTAGGTCAGATCGAGTATAAGTTTTGAGATAAAATATAAATAGAGTTTTAAGTTGGATGCAGGTGAAGGGGTCTAATTTTTAATCAGAGCCAAAAATCGAACCCATGATCATCCCTAATGTAGGTTATTGTTTCATCATTTCTAGATAAATTTGATTAGAAAGAATTTAAAATCGAAAGAGATGTAGTAAATGTTTGAAGACTAAAATGACTAAACTGATAATATTGAAGGGTCAAAAACATCAGTTTCCCTTTTGTTTTTATTTCTCTTGCAATTCATCTACTTTCCCATTTGGCCCTACACCTTAATTCTTTACTCTCTGCCGAAAACCATACAGTTTGAAAATAATTTATTTTTATAAATATGAGTTTTTTAATTTTAAATTCGTTGAATATTACGATCTTTACGATTAACAGTACATGTTAACTGAGTCGGAGTTGGATCAAATAAAATAACCATCTCATGCATCTGACTTTTTGCATGCAGCTCAACCGTCAGTAGGGTCCCTTTCCTGTATTTGATGTCACTACAAAACAATATTATTTCTTACTTCCTTTTTTTATTTGATTCATTTTAGACACTTGATTCATTAGTTTGATTTTTCAAAAACAAATTAACATATATCGTTTTTGTTTTATTGTCTTCGAGGGATGAATATTACCACCTTTATTATGGGTTTGTTTCACGAATTTTTTATATTAATTAATGTTTCTTTCATTAAAAAAATTAAAGATTTAATGGTATTGAAATCCTTATTAACTATTACGATGTTGATGTGATGATTCACAACAATGTTTGGGTTTTCACAATGGATGATGACATGACATAAGAGTTAGTTTGGTTTTTTTTGTCAAGTTCGAGGGTGTTTTTTCTAGAAATTTCGAAGATTTATTTGTTTTTTAGAAAAAAAATAAAAATAAAATTAATTTAAATAATTCAAATATTCAACAAATAAGCATACTAAAACAAATTAAATAACTAAAAATTTAAAAATCTTATTAAATTTTTCAAAATTAAAATATATCATATGTTATAAAATAATAAATTATTAGATAAATAATTAAATTAAATAAATTTAAATTATAGAAATATCATTTAATCTAAAGGTGTCATGTGTCCACATCTGATTAGATGATTAAATTTATTGAATTAAATTAAAATTACGATCAAATTGGTAGAATTTACAAGTATCGAGGATCAAATATATAATTATATCAATTTTGTTAATTTCCACTTAAGCACTTCCGTTAAATGTTAACGACATGTGGCTATATTGAACCCAATTAATTAGTTAAGTGATCATATTGATGAAATTTTAAAAATGGTGATCATTTCGACACCAACACTATAATTAAAGTGGTCATTCTAGAAGTTTACCCGAAAAAATAACTATCAGCATAAAATATAGGATTGACAAGTTGCAATTCTTTTTGGTGTCACTTACTTTTAATTATTTTCCATTAACATACGATGCAAAAACTTGTGTGGTATTGGTGACTTAAATTAACATATGTCATAAATAAATAAAATATATAAATTTCAAATAGAACCCATGCTCGTGTGTATACGTAGGATCAACCGACCAGCATCAAAATAACAAAGGATTATTATAATGATATATATAATTAAGAATCAACTCTCTAAGCCACTAGGGTTTATGGTTTACCAGTTTGGTGGTAGGATAATGACAACGCTTTTTGATGAACGCTCATTTCCTTCTCATACATACATACATACATGTATTTATATTGGTAATAATTTTTTTGATAAAATATTAATTTTTAGGTTTTGAATTTGGAATAAAGTTTTAAAATGCCATGGACGTGGTGAGTTCAATTCATAATTTCTATAAATATAATATTTGATGTATTATTAGCCTATAATTTTTATGTACCATTAGTAAGTTATTTTTAATTAATAAAAAATAAAAATTACTAAAGAACTTATAGTAATGAATTTAAATAATTATTAGTTTCTTCATTTTTCTTCTTATTATTCAATTTGCAACTGAAGTACCCAGGGCCATTCTTCAAATTGACGATATGATGAAGCTCATCAAAAATATATGTCAAACGAAGAGACATCTAAAGGTTTTTTTAAGTATAGATCATTATTATTGAAAAGTATGAATGAAATAATATTATTAGTTAATTGAATTTTAATTTAATTATAAATTATTAAAAAGATTTTATAATTGATAATTTGATAAAAAAATATTTAATAATCATAATTTGATATATAAATTACATTTTTGAAGTAGGGTAAGACATTCATATCTTGAAAATTATTATAGTAATTTTAGTAATTTAAATTTTTGAATATCTAAAATTTTAGATCAGTTAATATTCTATATTTAAAAATTCACAATCTAATAGAAAGGACAAATGCATCGGAAGCGAGTCCATGACCGCTCCAGTTAAAATAGGCAATGAACAAAAAAAACATCCCCATGGTCCGACAAGTTAAACGAGGGCGGCGGTGAAGTATTCCAATATTTTTTAAACGGAAACTTCAATATAACAACATACTATGTGCTACAAGATGAATCATCATGATTAAGAAATTAACTTCAATAGCCTCGAGAAATTACTTCTATCTTCAACGATTGTGAGTGTCTATTAGTATCTAACCCAATAGTCCAAAGCAATGATTGAAGTTTGTTTTGATGGGTAAAAAATGGGTCTTGTTTTTCATAAACAAACTCTTTGCATCGCCCTCCTATATATCTTTCTCCATTTTGGGGTCTTAAAAATAGGGTTTGAGGGGGCCTAAGTGGTAAGTATGCCCTTAAATATTGTTTATTTCCATGAGAGTGTCTTGGGGGATGGTCGAAGGATCTTAAAAGTCAACGCAAACCCTAACCAAAAGTGACCCTTTTGGGGGCATCAAATGGGGTGCCAAGCTGGTTCATAACTACAACACTCGTGACTCTCGTGCTTTGCTTTATATATGGTTTTCATTTTGTCCTTTTATCCTCCATTCGTTGCATGGGTAACGGTGCCATGTTATCCTCTTCAATATTCTATGTTTATCATAAAGTTTGTACCCTAAAACTTACCAAAAAGAAAAATCATTCTTTAAGTTGTTATTTATTAGTCAAATCATTTTAAGATTTTGGGATCTTCAAACTTTCCATACCCATATCCTAGGTTTTGGAGATTATGTTCTTTTCATTTTATTCGGCTTTTTAAGTTTGGATAAATTATTAAAATACTTCTATTTGTAACCACTTATTAACAAATAATGTTTCGTTATGTATATTATTGATTTATGTTATTTTAGTTATTGTGACGTTAAATGTCATTAGTTTAATCACGTAACACGTTAATAAAAGGTAGTTAATTTTTAATTTAATTCCTAAATTTTAAATAAATATTAATTTAACTCCTAAAATTTAGATAAAATATCATTTTTATCTTTGAATTTTAAATAAAATATAAATTTAATCCTTGAATCCAATCAAAGTCTCCTATCGCCAACCAATCGTCATCATCATCGACCGTTAGATCCCAAAATTTATGGGTCACACCATTTTAACCTCCTAAAACAAATTTGATATCGGTTCCATTAAAGAATCTCCTAACGTAACATAGAACATTGACATCCTTTAAAAACTTAACAGTATTATTGACGTGTCACCATAAGGTAATGTCACATCATCATTGAAAAATAAAAAAAATCACGTCAGTATTATATATGGTTTTGAAAAAAATAAAGTTTAGATACCAAAATGGAACACAAGTAATAGTTTAGGTATTGAATGAGTAGTTTACCCTTAGCAAAAACATAATTGGGTTATAATTTTATTTTATAAGGAAAAAATTAACATTTACCTATTTATACGAATTTTCTCGAATAATGTCAAAGTTTATTTATATCATTTTTCTTTTTGCCAGGAAAATTGATGACTTAAGAACCCATGTGTTTTAAATTATATCTGAAAACTAAAATGAAATAAAAAAATATTTACAATGTCAATCCTTTTTTAAAGAATATCTTCATCATATGTCAATACCATTTTTTAATTAATTTAAATTTGATTCTCGTGAACCGCGATATCTTTAATATCCCCTATTTTAGATTGATTCTTAAATTGTAAATATTCTTGTTTTAT